TGCAAAAAGGGCAAAGTGGCCCCACCTTGTATCTCCATCTGTGACGATGGCTGGCAGTGTCGTAGCTCGAAGTGAAGACCTGCTTGATTATGCGACGCATATTTTTGGGCCTCTTCCCTTCCAGATCGCCCTGGACGGGTCTGTCCAGAGCCTCGTTTCCAGAATCTCCACGGCCCTGGGGTGTTCTCTGGGTCCAAGGTGTTTGCTCATGCTAGAGGACGCGAGCTCCTCGGCTAGGTTCTTCACGAAAGAATTGGGAACCTGAAAGACGGGGATCTCCGTCAAGACGCGCGTTACCCCGATTATCATAATCAGAACGCCTGGCCCACTGGCCGCCCAAGGCGCGCTCTGAATCCACCGCGGCGCGTCCCCCGCGGGCCCCCTGGAAAGGCAACCCCAAGAGGCCTTCGGGCGGCCCCACTGGAGCTCCGAGGTGGCATTCTGAATCCCGAATCCCGGACAGCCCCACGATGCTCAGGCAGTAACCTGGGCGATGTTTGGGGTCCGAGGTAAAGACATGCTATTTTGGCACTTCTCGTTGAAGTCGCTCCTGCATGGGGCAGCGGGTCTCTGCTCGGCTCCAGCGCGATGGCAAGGTTGAGGTCTGCGCCGCAGCTCGCAAACCATAGGAAGCCCGCTGCCAGAGAGCGCAGGCGACGAACTTCATGCGGGTTCCAGCCCGCCACCTCCTGCCCATGCGTCGTAGCAAGCTTAGCCCCACAAAGTCAGATTTTGGCCTTTGGCCGTTTTGAATCCCCTGGGGCTCATGATCCTCCTCGCTGTGGCAATTTGATTTCTCTCCCTCTCGGGTCGTTCCTGCACGGCGTGCTCGTGTTTCTCGTGTTTCACTGCGCGGTGGTCGACCGCCATATTCACGGGCGGCGCATCGAGCAGCCCAACATACTCTGCCACGGACGCCTTCGCAGCGCGCGCCAACTCCTCGCTGGTGCCCGCAGCGCAGATCTTCTTCAATGCGACATTCCAATTCAACAGCTGGGAGAGGCGATCTATCAAGAAGGCCAATGCTGCGGCCAAGTTCCAGATGCATCGACACATGTCCGCACGCATCTCGTTCAAACTGAAGTATGCATTACGCGCGGCTATATCCGTGGAAAAACCCATCTTCAAACACGCGTGCACTGTGGGTAAACAGTGCACCTTTATCTCGACCGTAGCCGTGCCACTACCTGCTACAATGCCCTGATTAATTTCATACTATGTGGCATGATACCGTAAATGCTAAGCATGCGCTCCCAATCATATGTGTGTGCATCAAACCTAAGGGCGATCAAAAGGATACTGCCGCTCGATCGCACTCTGCACGAGCTGCGGATGCTGCGCGTGCTCGTAGCACTGTGCCAAACCTGCTAGCAAGCTCAGCACGTTATTCTCGTCACTGACCGCCAGGTCTCCTCTAACCTGCTGCCGCCAGCCCGTGTATGATGGTGGCGTCCCGATCGCATGCTGAAGACGACATAGTCTTGCATGTTATGCTCCCAGCTTTTGCAATCCTTGGAATGCCACCTGGACGCCCTTCGAATCAAACTATTGTAAAATCCAATCGGCATTCCTCCAGGCGCAAGTTCGCGACGCAATGTTATGATGAGCTTCCTCGTCCAGGGCGGGGGCGAACCGAGAGCTGTCATTAGGCCCGTGACCTGACTGAAGGCTAGCAGCGCCCTGTCGCGTAGCGAATGAAAGCGCCTGGGATGAAATCCACCCCCCGCAATCGTGGATCTCTTGGCAGACTTACTTCGGTAACAGATCTCTTGCGGGTCAGGTGGTTCCGGGCAAATCATATCAGCCGGCCGCTCGAGGCCCTGGGAGTCTTTTGCTTCCCCGCCCCGCGCCTAACCCCAGTCCAGCTCCTCCTTCTCCTCCAACTGACAAGTCAAACAGAAGACAACAGCACCTTCATCGTCCGTGGGAAAGAGGTCCTGCCCCCTGTCTCCCGCCATCTTTGTATGAGCACACGCCCACTTGGCTCCGCCAGCTAGCGCCTCCGCGCACCGATCGCCCCACTTGGCCGACTTCTCGGCCTTTTCGCGGGGCAAGAACAACGACGCCTGGTAGTCTGCAAAAGCTGGAGGGCCTGGAAGCACCCTGCAATGGGCAATGGCATCTGAATGCGATATGACACCTGGGACCCAGAGAAAAAAACGAGGGCAGCTTGCTGGAGTCCAAGCATGGCCTCCCGCCCCTCAGGATAATGGTGCCTGAAGATGCCTCCCGAACGCGTGGCTCTGCAGGTGGCCTGCAGGCGCTTCCAGTAGTAGGCCTCGTGCGCGAACTCTTTTCCAGTGGATATAAGGCCCCCCCATATCCCGGGATCGCCTGCCATGCCAGTGGGGGGCTCTTAAGGCCCCTTGGTTGGGCTACGCCTGCCAGGTTATTAAAACGAGCCCGTGCCCTTACACATGGCCTTCTCGGAAGAATTCCGCTGTGAGCAACGACATTATCAACATACCAACAATTCAGCGGTCAACGCCAGTAGCCATATGCAAAGAGGTGCTGGCAGTGCTCGCCCAGTCGCTCCTGACCAAGCTAGCAAGCACATCGCAAACGACTTCGCAGAATCTTCAACGATGGTTGCCGCGTGGACTCCTGCTTCTTGCCGCGTTGCCGCTTCTATTAGATAGCTTTGCCCTTGCGCGTGGCCCCGCCGACGCGGATGCCATGGGTGGCGCAGAGCCTATGACGCGCAACGTTTCTTTTACCCGTCCTAGAATGCCTGGGCCGACAGGCCGCGAGTCGCCGCGGGGTTCAACGCGGCCCGAGGTGATCCCAACATGGTTGCCGACGCTGCGCAAGATGGCCATTGGTGACGGAACGCAGTATGGGCCCGAGAACCCTCGGGTTGCCTACGAGATGGCCCCTCGGTCTCCCCCAAGGAGGCCAACGTTCATTGCGTGACGATCGCGTCCGTGTTCTCTCACTTTTCGACGAGCCTCTCGGATCCCGGCGCAGCCCCGCTTGGCCCGACAGGGCCGCTGGAGCAATCTGGAACTCCCAAGGTCCCCCCAGGATGCCAAAAACGCCCCTCGGAAACCAAAGTCGGGGGGCGAGCGAGGCCTCTCAGGAGGCCCAAGTCGCCCCTCAGGAGGTCCAAAGAGGCTGCCGGGATGCCCCAAAGCCTTGGCAGGAAGCAGCCCGGGGGGCCGCGGAGCTGTTCGGGAATCCCAAGAGGCATTTCAGGTGTTTCAAGGTTCTCTCACACGAAAACCCCGAAGAGGCCCAGGAAACTGCGCGGGGGGGCCCAGGGGGGCCCTCGGGTTACCCGCCTGGGCCTCCTATAAACCAAACCTGTACAAGTATAACAATGACCAGAAACGCAGCTTGTATTGTGGGGTGGGGGGTCCCACTTTCGAGCATGTATCGCAAAAATGGGACCCCTCACCCAACAATACACGGGCAGACGCGAAACCATGAATGGTTGTATAGGATCAATTTCTCCTCTGGCCCGAAATCCTCGTATGGGTCTCTCTGAAGCCCCGTAAATCTTTCCCGAGGCCTGAGAAGCTGATCTAGAGACCCGCGAGGCCTCTCAGGAGGCCTAGGCGCCCCGTCAGCAGGCCCCGGGGCCGTCTGAGGACGCCCAATCCAAAAAGCTCATCGGGGGGGAGACACCTCCCAGGAGGCCCCAGTAAACCTCTGAGAAAGCCGAGGGAACCTCTGAGGAGGCCCCAGGCACCTGTGGGGGCTGTCGAGCCCTAGGGACTCCTTCGGAAAGCCAGGAATTTCTCTTGGGAAGCCAGACAGCCTTCGCCAGAAGCGGAAGACGCCTCTCAACAAACCGAAGAAATCTCTCAGGAGGCCCAGGGGGGGCGGCTCCCAGAAGGCCCACGATGCCACATGTGAGGCCCCAGAGACCCCTCGGATGGCCCAAGGAGCAAGACAAAACGGTAGACTAGAGAAGAAGATAAGAGAGCTTCGGGGCCTGTTCCCTCCCATCCCCCCTTCGCCCTTTCTGCGTTCCCCCCCGCTGCACCCCCTTCGCCTACCATTCAATTTGTTTTGCGCCCCCGCCACCCCTTCTCCGCTGTCCGACTCGCGCGACGAAGGGCTTGATCGCGAAGCCAAGCCCCGACGCTGCGCGGCAAGCCGGGGCACCGGAGATATCCCGATATCCCGCCCCCCCCTGACCCGAACCCCTGCCAGACTCGAGTTAAACGGAATTATGCGGCCAGATCGGTTATCCAACAACCCTGGCAGAAATGATTGAACCAAACCATCTGTGGGGTACGGGTTCGATGCTAGCCACTGGTTCTGAACATCGGTCAAGCAGAACTCGAGGCATCGCGTACCACGCGGTTGATGTGGTGCCGCGCGCCGCTGCCGCGCCGCTGCCTTAAACGCCCTGGCGTCCGAGCCGTTGCTCCAAAGCCTCGTGTGTGTGTGTGTGTGTGTGTGTGCGTGTGTGGTGGCATCTTGGCCACGCCTGCCGCGAACGCAACATGTGATTTCTGACCAGAGAGGAAGGAAAATTGGATGAGGGAGGACGAGAAGGGAGCCGGATAAACAAGATGAGGAGAGGGATACTGGTTTTGATGATGTTGATGACGACGAAAATGACGGTGACGGCGGTAATTCTTCTAGGGATGCCAGCGATGCTGGCAACGGTAATCCTGATGAAGATGATGGTGATGAAAACGATGCAGATGGTGACGACGACGGCGATGATGATGGTGGTGATGAGCAAGAGAATGACGACTATAAGCGATGATGGTGCCGATGACGACGACAATGACGATGCTGCTGATGATGACAGAAGGAGGAGGAGAAGGAGGAGGAGGAGGAGGAGGAGGAGGAGGAAGAGAAGGAGGAGGAGGAAGAGGAAGAGGAGGACGATGAGGACGAGGAGGACGAGGAGGACGAGGGGGGCGACGAGGATGAGGAGGAGGAGGAGGAGGAGGAGGAGGAGGAGGAGGAGGAGGAGGAGGAGGTGTATGAGGAGAGCGAAGGAAAACCGGGGCGCGAGGCGCGCAAGACCTGCCACCGCCTCAGACGACGCGTGCCCGGCGCAGGGCGCTGTGCGAGCCGTCTTTTTCCTCGTCGCCGCCGTCGCTGTCGTCGCCCCCGTCGCCGCCGGCGCTGGCGTGTTTTTGTCGTTGAGTTCTCACTTGTAAAGAATAATTATTGTTGATCCCCCCTGTGACCATTGTATTTTTCCAATTAAAGTGCTCCTCCCGGGGCTCGCACCCTGTTTTTCATTATGGAAATTCTGTGGTCACAAAGCTGCGCCCCTGGCTCCCAAATTATCATAACAGCGGCTCCCGCCTGATACTTTTTCACACTTTACTTCAAATTCGCACTCTCGCGTGGAAATAACTACCTCATGATGTATCCAGTCATCGCGCTCTCGCGTGGTACTTCCTCATAATTTATTGCAGCGCCGTGCCCCCAAGACTCACAGATCATGCTCTCTCTTTGGACTTCCAAGCGATTTATTTGGGAATCGCGCTGTCGACCGAAACTTTCTTCATGATGGGTTGACGCTCCAACGACTCGCCCGCTCGACCTGCCCGTCTGGGCCCGCCCGCCCGACCTGCCCGTTAGGGTCCGCCCGCCCGACACGCCCGGCTGGTTCTGCCGCTTGTGCTGCTCCTACCTTTCCTCCCTCAAATTTCTCTCGTGCTCCATCCTTCTCCCTCTCCCGTGTCTCTTTACTCCTCCCCTCCTTCCCCTGTTTTAGGGGCTGCGCCGACTACGCGCGGCAGGTAAGGAAGATATACCCCAAAGAGGGGGTACGTTCGAATACGAAGAGAGCGGGTACCGAGGGCATGGGGTATACGTGTTGAATGGCACGCGCGCAGATAAGAGCGAACACCTTAAACTGATTACGGTTGTTGCTGTTTGTTTGTCGAGTTTGATGTTGATTTCTTTTTGCGTGTCTATGTTTTGCAAGTGTTTTGTTTTTCTTCCCCCCGCCCGCTGGCAATGGCGCCGTCGTGGTAGTCATCGTCGCCCTGTTCCTCCCGCTTCCTCGATCGGATCGGAACAAATCCCAATGCTCCGTGCATGCACCTACAGCCGTACGCACGCCGTGCGTGTAAAAGGGACATCCTCCTGTCTGAGGGGGGACGATAAGGGGGACGTCTCAAGGTGGGCGGGAAACATCGAGCTGGCATACGTGATGCATCGCCAGTTGATCGGCGAGAAGTCCCCGATCGCGAATCTGCGCGTTCCAGGGCGGGGTGGGCAAGGCCCCTGTCGGGGTATGAGTGGGCGAGTGGGGGTCGATGCGTACCCCGCTGAGCCTCTACCCCTCCAGCATTGCCCCTGCCCTGCGCCACGGTGGACGGCGGCATCGGCACAAGCGACTCGGAGACCCGGGCAAGAACACCCCACGGCTGGTGTGGTGTCCTCTCAACGACTCGCTTCCGGTCGAGAGCTCGGGTCGGGAGTCTGAACGCGCCGTGCCAGGGCAGAGGCCCGATGCTGTCAGCGCCAGGATCTCCTGATCAGTGGCTGCTTGACCAGTGGCGCAGCCGTTCCAGAGCGCTCTGGGACGCACCCCTCTGACTACCCGCCAAGCCACCCCACCTCAATCTGAACTCGCAGCTGGGCCTGCAAATTTCCGGTGGGGGGACGTTCTGGAACATCGGTACAACATCATGGCACCCGTACACCCCCCCCACCCGAAATTCTGTTGGGGGTCTGGGACCTTCGGGTTGGGGTGGGGCGGTTTGGTACGGGAAACACACACCGTCACAAATAACTTTGGATTCCACGGAAAAGTAAGGACATATAGAAAGTGTGGGGGGAGCGGAAGACGAAAGTCCATAAACAAAAAGAACATATGAGGGATTCTGAGATGTGTGCCTATTTGCTCGTGTGCCCCTGGGCCCCTTCAAAGTCCCTGGTTGCTCAGTGGCCTCGGGGCGCGGTGCGCCCACCAGGGGAGGATGTCCGAGAGCTCGTGCGCTCCGAAGCCCCGCCCCCAGGGGGCGCCCACCCCTGCCCTCGCGCTCTCGCTCTCTCTCTTTCCACGCTCTGTCCCGGGAGTGAGGAGGCGGAGGGGGAGGGGGAGAGGAAGAGGAGGAGGAGGAGGAGGAGGAGGAGGAGGAGGAGGAGGAGGAGGAGGAGGAGGGTGGCAGTACCTCCGATTGAGGCCGTCAGTGGAAGTAACTTTGTTTTTGAAGGCATCTGCGAGAGAGGACGCGGGCGCACCAGTATGTATTCCAGTGCTTGGGCCTCCTTGTGGAAAACTTTTGGAGCTCTCCTGGACGACTTTGGTGGTCTCGGGGACGGCGGCTTGGTTGTGCGAAAGATAAACGCGCATATTCCCTACCAGGCTGTTGAGTCACAGCTCGTGTCCAGGAGTGTCCGAGTTCGTAACAGTCAGGCCGACTTGTGGGCCAAGCATTCTGCTTCTCGTGCGCGTGTGCTTGCCGAGGTGAGGAAGGCTCGTCTGAAATCTCACACGCTGGTGGAGCGGGTAACTCATTGGATAGGCACCGTCGGGGCGGCCGCTGATCGTCGTGGTTGTGTGGCGGTTCGTCACTCCACTCGGCCGATTCGGCCCCGTCCTTGTGGTTCGCCCGGCCCCGTGGTGCGTAGTGTGGCTCGAGCATGACTGGCATGGCCCCAACGATCGCCGTTGGTGTCGGAGGTGTCCTGTCTCTGCGCCTGGGCAGGCATAGCGCCCAGGTTCGATTGTCAGCCATGCTGCCGAGGCTAATCGCGCGCTCGGCGCGCGAGGGGAGCTGCCACGCGAATTAGTGTCCCTGGATGCCGCGCCGCCTTTCTGGAAACAGAACAAAGCGGCCGTTGCATGCTGGCGCTGCGGAGCGCACTCTTTCAGACATTACGTTGCCATGCCACAAGGCAACGGACTTTGACCACCGGGGGCCATCGAGCGAATGATGAGAGGCTTTCCAGGAGGTGGGGATCTGGTCTCTGCGGTCTCTACAGAGACCTAGCTGCTGTTATAGTTCTGGCTCTCAGGCGAGGGCCTCAATGCACCGGGAAGAACAAGGAGAAGGAGGAGGAGGAAGAGGAGGAGGAGAAGGACGAGGAGGAGGAGGAGGGAGAAATCGCTCGGGGCAGGTCCGCACCGACATTGGCTCGGACCTCACACTGTGCTGGGCCGACTGCCGGCCAGCGCTGAGTACACTGACGACCAGCCCCCCCCGCCCGTGGCCACCGCGAAAACCTCGGCCTGCCCCGAGCAACGACAAGCCCCCCCCACGGGCCGCCTCGCAGGGGCCCCGGGATGGCGGGCGGGCGCGAACCCAGCGGTAACCTCCGTTGGGTTGTTGTGCTTTCCTGCCATGTTACCGTATTGATATGTTCCCGCTTGCAGCGCCGCTCGCGCGCGGCGCCGCGCCGGCAGGGCGAACTGTGCGCGCAACTTTGATTTGTTCCTGCGCACGGCGCCGCTCGCGCGCGGCGCTGCGTCGGCACGACGAACTGCGCGCGCAACTCCCCGCGGCACCCCTCGGCGCCACAAGCACGCAGGAGAGCAAATGCGTTCAGCGATACACTGTCGACAGCGCTGACAGCGCGAGCTGCTTCCTCCCCGCTGCGCGATTTCTCCCGCGGTGCAAACGTACCGCGCGCCCGCCTTAGGATGAGGAGGAGGAGTAGGAGGAGGAGGAGGAGGAGGAGGGACAGAAGAGGAGGAGGAGGAGGAGGAGGAGGACGAGGAGGAGGACTTGAAATACTATGTTTTGGGGAGCCTTCATGCCGTTAGCGAGCGTAGTTTTCTGGTGTCACCACCCTGGAAGGTACGGTGTCCCGGCGGAGCGACGTGGCCACTCAACATAATGGCCTGAGGCGGGCGGTGTCTGGCCACTGGCTGGGTTGCTGGATCCAGTGGCGGAGGAGGAAGAAAACCAATGGCAAACCCAAGACTCATAAACGATGCTGCAATACACTGTCCGTCCAAGTTCTCTTTTCATAGCCCCCTTACAAAGGGTTCATTGTCACTGGAAGAAATGCCCCGTTGGAAGACAACCGCTTGACAATCCTGAGCTGTGCCAGAATTCCATTACTGGGACTTCGACGCCGCACATCACCCTAATTATTGCGCCTTGACGGCCCTGAATCGTACTCAAACGCTACTCATGTGACCTCAACACCGCGAATCCACAGAGCTGTTGCGCCCTGACAGTCCGACACCGTGCCAAAACACTATTCCTCAACGTTAAGCGTGATACTCCTTGAAACTGTTGTAACATTTACAACGAGTGTGCGCAACGCAAAAAGCGAAAACCACATGTTGAAAAAGAACCGCCCTCCATCCGTGAATCTGTTGCAGCTTGTCAATAAAACGAGTGCGTGCGGCGCAGAAACGATAACCACATGTTGAAAACCACCTGCCCTCCATCCGTGAAGCTCTTGCAAATGTGTGAAACGAATGTGCGCGGTGCTGAAGCGATAACCACATTTTGAAAACGAGCCGCTCACCATCCGCGAAACTCTTGCAATGTGCGCGGCGCGGCGCGGCGCTAAGACAAAAAACGCGTTTTGAAAACGGCCCGCCCTCCATCCGTGAAGCTCTGTCACATGTTTAACACCCATGTGCGCGGCGCTAAGGTGATAATAGCATTTATAAAACGGCCCGCAAATTTGAAGGTTCAAGATCATAACTGGTGAAGAATTCTCAAACGACATTCCCGGCCACTTCGGAATGAGACGCGGCGCACTTCACGCGCTGGACATGTTGCCGCCGACGATGCAACATGAGAGGCCGGAGCGGGGCGCGGCGTATATCGCGCGCGGTCTTGTTTTTCGTCGACGTTGCTCAATACGCGGCAGGAATAGGACGCAGCTCATGTCGCGCGCTGAACGTCTAGCCGCCCACGGTATAAGATGAGCGGCAGGCATCGGACGCGACGCACTTGCTTCTTATGTTGCGGGAGGGCGGGTGGGAATGGACGGAGCCCTCTGGCTCGTTCGAGCTGACTCACTCGACCCTAACCCTTACCCCGACCCTAAACCCGAACCCTAACCCCTACCGTAACCCTAACCCCTACCTCAACCCGAACCCCTAACCCCGAATACCCTCACGTAGCCCTGACCCC